GTTGCAGTTTCCCATTGACAATCACAGGATGTGGTAGCACCAAGAGATGCCCTAAAGGATCTCCTACATTCCAGATATAATCTTTCTTACCTCTATTGTGGAGAAACAACCCAATTTCCCCATGGTAATTTGGATCAATCACCCCTCCTAACACTGTTATTCCTTACTTAACCTGTTGGCTTAAGGGCATCAGAAGCCCAAAGTGGCAGGAGGCTGGGGGGAGTCTGAGCTTCCAGTTGAATGAAATATTTGTTGTGGCTCCTGGCAGGAGCACTCCCCCACTCTGGAACCAAAACTTCTAGGCCAGTAGAACTTAAGGTTGTGAGAACAGGAAGCAAAAATTTTCCCAATGGGTCACTAGGAGTAATAGTGAGTGGAACCACTCAATTCCTGGACCCGTGGATTCTGGCTATGGGAGAAACTGTACCATATACTAGACATTGATTCAAAGCATATACTGCCTTCTGTTGAACCTTGATCTAGCTTTCCAGGCTACTGCCACCTAATTGGTGCTGGAACTGTGTCTTCAAAAGGCCATTCCATCTTTCTATCAGGCCAGCTGCTTCAGGATGGTAGGGAACATGTTAAGACCAATGGATTCCATGATCATGCTCACTGTTGCACTTCTCTGGCTGTGAAGTGAGTTCTTTGATCAAAAGCAATACTTACGGAATACCATGATGGTAGATAAGGCACTCTGTAAGTTCACAGATGGTGGTACTGGCAGAAGAATTATGTGCAGGAAAGGCAAATCCATAACCAGAATAAGTATCCATTCCAGTAAGAACAAAGTGTTGTCCTTTCTACAGAGTAAATGGTCCAATATAGTAAACCTACCAGGTTGCTGGCAGGTCACCCTGAGGAATGGTGCCATATCTGGGGTTCAGTGTTGGTCTCTGCTTTTGGCAGATCTGGCATTCATCAGCAGCTGTAGCCAGGTCAGCCTTGGTGAGAGGAAGTCCATGTTGTCAAGCCCATGCATAACTCCCATCTCTGCCACCATGGCCACTTTGTTCATGGTCCACTGGGCAATGACAAGAATGGCTGGGTAAAGAGGCTGACTGTCCACAGAATGGGTCATTCTATTTACTTGATTATTGAACACATCAGCTGAGGTCACCTTTTGATAAGCATTTATATGAGACACAAGTATCTTCACATCCTTCACTGATTTGGAAAGATCTATCTACATACTTCTTTCCTAGATGTCTTTCTTACCAATTTTCTAATCATAGTCTTTCCAAGTCCCTGACCATCCAGACAAGCCATTGGCTATAGTCCATGAATCAGTGAACAATCACAATCTGGACATTTCTCCTCCAAACAAAATGTATGACCATGTCTATTGCTCGAGCCTACTGTGAAGATTTCCCTTTGCTGGTGTCAAGACTATCCCAGGAAGGGATTATAATGCTGCAGCTGTCCACTTCTAGGCAGTGCCTGTGTAATGGGCAGGACCATCAGCAAACAATGCTCTAGTCTTCAACCAATCAGGGCACACCCCATGAGGCTATAGGTGCATGCTTGGTAGCAGACAACATTTTAATGGGAGTAGAAACCATAGGTATTTGGGCAACAACTTCATGCAATTTCCTTGTGCCTTCAGGACCTGCTTGGGTCCAGTCATGTATATACAACTTCCATTTGATAATGGATTGCTCCAATATACATCCTACTTTGAGTTAGTAGATCACATGTAACACCCAGTTCATGACGGGCAGCTCAGATTGCATGGTAACTTGATGGCCCACTGTCAAATGTTCAGTTCCTACTAAGGCTCAATAGCAGGACAAGAGCTGTCTTTCAAAGACAGAACTGCTGTCTGCAGATGATGATAGAGCCTTGCTTGAAATTCATAAGGTCTCTTCTGTGTTTCATCCATAAGGGCCTGCCAAAAGCTCCAAACAGCATCCCTATCTGCCACTGATACCTCAAATACCATTGGATCTGTTGGATCATATGGTCTAAATGGTAGAGTAGCTTGGTTCTATTGAAGAGCTTTCTCCCCTTCCAGGCCCCACACAAAACTAGCAGCTTTCAGCCGGGCGGTGGAGGCGCGCGCCTTTAATCCCAGCACTCGGGAGGCAGAGGCAGGCAGATCTCTGTGAGTTCGAGGCCAGCCTGGGCTACCAAGTGAGTTCCAGGAAAGGCGCAAAGCTACACAGAGAAACCCTGTCTTGAAAAACCAAAAAAAAAAAAAAAAAAAAACCCCCCCCAAAAAACCAAAAAAACTAGCAGCTTTCTAAGTCACTTGGTATATTGGCTGGAGTAACACATCCAAGTGAGAAATGTGTTGTCTTCAGAATCCAAATAGGCCTATTGAATTTGTGGTGGGACAGACCAGGTGCAATAACTTATCCTTTACTTTAGAAGGAGTATCTCTGCATCCTCAAACTACTAGAATCCTAAGAATTTCACTGAGGTAGAAAACCCTTGAATTTTGGTTGGATTTATTTCCATCCTCTGTTGCACACATATGTTACCAATGAGTCCAAAGTGGTTGCTACCTCCTATTTACTTGGTTCAACCAGTGTAATGCCATTAATATAATGAGTGATGTGATAGTCTGTGGAAAAGAGATGGTCAAGAGCTGTGTGAGTTAAGTTTTGACACAGGGATAGGCAGTTAATATATCCTTGAGGTAAAACTGAAAGCAAATTGCTTCTGGTGGTCCTTATGGACAAGTACCAAAAAAAAAAAAAAAAAAAAAAAAAAAAAAAAGATACTTGCTAGATTAACAGCTGTGTCTTAGGGTTTCTCGATTGCTATGAAGAGACACTATGACCACAGCAACTTTTTGGGGGTTTTTGTTGTTGTTGTTTGGTTGGTTGTTTTCTTTTCTTTTTTTTTTTTTAGATTTATTTATTTATTATATATACAGGGTTCTGCCTGCATGTGTCCTTGCAAGCCAGACCAGAAGAGTGCACCAGATCTCATTACAGATGGTTGTGAGCCACCATGTCGTTGCTGGGAATTGAACTTAGGACTTCTGGAAGAGCAGTCAGTGCTCTTAACCACTGAACCATCTCTCCAGCTCGTTTTTTTTTTTTTTTTTTGGTTTTTCAAGACAGGGTTTCTGTATAACAGTTCTGGCTCTCCTGGAACTCACTTTGTAGACCAGGCTGGCCTCAAACTCACTGAGATCCACCTGCCTCTGCCGCCCAAGTACTGGGATTAAAGGCATGCGCCACTACCGCCCAGCCCACAGCAACTCTTATAAAGGAAAACATTTAGTTGGGGTGGCTTATAGTTTCAGTTACCATTATGGTGGGACATAGCAGTATGCAGGCAGACATGGTGCTGGAGAGGGAGCTGAGAATTCTACATCTTAATCCACAGGCAATAGAAAGTGAACTGTGTGCTACACTGGGCATACCTTGAGCATAGGAGACCCCTCATAGTGACATACATCCTCCAACAAAGCCACACCTCCTCATAGTGCCACTTCCTATGGAAGCCATTTTCTTTCAAACCACCACAAGCTGCATACCATGTACCAAGAGATACATTAATCTGCTCAAGTAAGGACACCACATCTAGAATAGCAACTGAAACTAGAGTGAGTTTTGGATAGTCAACTACCATTCTCCACTATTCATCTGTCTTCTGTAGTATCCAGATAGGAGAGTTAAAGGGAGATGTGATGAGAACCACTGCCCTGTATCTTTCAAGTCCTTGATGATGACACTAATTTCTGCAGTTCCTGGGGATGTGATATTGTTTTTGATTCACTATCTTCCTTGGCAGAGGCAACTCTAAAGGCTTCCATTTAGCCTTTCCAACCATAATAACCCTCACTCCACAGGTCAGTGAACCAGTGTGAGATTTCTGTCAACTTCTAAGTATAGCTATTCCAATTATACATCCTGGGAGTGGGGAAATAACCACAGGATGAGTTTAGGACTCATTGAACCTACTGAGTTGAACTTGAACCAAAACTCCATCAATGATCTGATCTCCATAAGCCCCTACTTTAACTGGAGGGCCACAATGTTTCTTGGGATTTCCCAGAATCAGCAACAGTTCAAAACCAGTATCCAACAGACCCCAGAAAGTCTGGTCACTTCCTTTCCCCCAATGTACAGTTAACTTTGTAAAAGGCTGTAGGTCCCTCTGGGGAAGGTCTGGGGGAAGGCTAACAGTAAAACTTTTAGGTATTTTATACAGGTCCTTCCTCAGGGGAACCTGGCCATCCCTTCATTCAAGGGGTTCTGGGTCTGTAAACTGGTTCAAGTCTGAAAATTAGTTCATGGGTCAAGATTCCCTTTTTGTCATAATCCAATGTAGAACTCCTTTCATTTGTTTGGTAATTTTTCACTTAAAATGACTGAACAAAAATGCAATACACTTGTTATCTATTTCATGCCTAGAAACACCATAATTGGTTAGCCAGTACCAAAGGTCCATATGAATCAAGCCACCATGACATTCACTTTGCCTATGCTGACCATTATGGGTCAGGCCATTATGGACATTACTTTGTGCTGCCCATTACAATAACTACAATCACCTTGACTTTGATGATTCAGTACTGCCATCTGGCCCCTGCTACTTCAGGGCTCAATTAAACCCACTGCATTTAATTCATCCAACGGAGCATCAGCCTCTCTAGCCCTAAGGTCTGGCACAAGGTAAAGGGTGGTGGCAAAGTTCTTCAAATGTGCTGGTGCCCCTCTCACCTTTTTACATCTCAGAGGATTAGTGAAAGGCAGGACTTCTGGGATTTCCCATTGTAGAGGATTAGGTTTTACCCAGTGTACCCACTCTAGCATTGCAACTCCCTGAGCCTTAAAATCCCTTCATCAACACTAAGTCGAGAGATATCAGGCATCTCCAACTCCTCTTTAGTAGGCCATCTTTTGAAAAATGCTTCAGCCAACCATTCAAATGGACTCTGGACTATCCATCCAACCCCCCCCTTTTTTTTTTTTATCCATAAAAGATGCATTTAATTTCTTACATTCATAACAATAGGTATGGCAAATAAGGTAATTTATAATTTTAAAAACTTTTCCAAAATCCCCCAACTTGATAAAAGCTTTCTTTTTAATATAAACCAATGTTTAAGTTCCCCAATTTTTTTTTTAAAATTATAAATGTCCAGTTTGATTATATATTTTCAGCCTATATTTATAGAATAGTTTCTAGTTCCTGAACAGGTAAGATGGGGCGTCCATCCCCTTAAAGTGGTACTCGTCACTGGGCTCTTTGCCGGTCTTCTTTTTCGGCCATTTCTTGTTGGCGGATTGTATCCTGTGCTGCTTGCTGCATTTTCTCCAGTTTTTCCAGAGTCAGAGATTTTAAGGGTAAAAGTTTGGGTTTACACAGCACCATTGTGGTTACATCTTCCACAGACAACTGCCCTTGTTTTGGAAGGACTTCATGGAACATCGACTTCACTTCTGCCATCTATAACTGCTGGATACAGTGCTTTTGCTCGGGTTCGTTCCTTCCCAGACCGCTCCGCTGTTGCCCGGGGTAACGGGGACTGAACGAAGGACAAACCCAACCCCCTTTTTTTAACTGTTCAATCTTCCATATTAAACCTAGAATCTCTACTCAATGGGCTCATATCAATAAAACTCTCCCCAATCCAGTTTTATGTTCCTTTGACTGCTACCCCTCAACTTTAAAATCCATTCCCACACATATTCCTCAGATTCCTGTTTGAATGAATTAGCAAACTCATTAAGCTCTTTATTAGTGTAGTACACCTTTTCATGGACTACACTTTCCACCTCCCCTCTAGGAGCCTGCTTTACCTTATGTCTGGTTATAGGTCTAGAGGCAACTATTGGTAGGTTCCAAAGGATATCAGTATTGTCAGTCAGAGACAGAAAAGGCAACATTTCAAGGGGTGAAAGTTTATCTTCTGTGGAGGGTGGAGACTACTTTCTTAGATAAACCCTTGAGACTCTGAGAGTTCAAAGTTCTCAGCTTCAATAGGGTCTTACTACACATCCCCATTCCAAGTTATAGGATCCCATTCTTTACCAACTAATGACCTTAACTGTCAATGCCCTCTGAAGCTGATACTTGAATTTTTGCTGTTATTCAGCCAACCTTATAATGAAGGCTTTGGTTTTATTTTCTGCAACTTGAGCTGTGGCTGCTGGAGAGAAGATTCTCCTCCAGGGCATACTTAGAAACCTTTAGATTGTTAATGTACATCTGGAGCTGGTCAATTTTATCACTAAGTTCATTGCTGTCTTTCACCATATTCTGAGATGCTAGAAGTTGGTTAATTTTATCACGAATCTCATTCTTTTCCTTTGTCAATTTATGCAGAGATGTTAGTAGCGACCAGTATCATCATTTTCCTTATTTTTCCACAAACTGTCAAAAGTTTTATATGAGTCACTAAATCTGTTGCCACTGATAATTGGTGAATCGAGATAATCAAATGCATCTGTCTCCTTAAATTTGTAAAAATAGTTCACACTGTGGGCTGTCAGTACTCTCCAAGCTTCTAAGAGAGGCTTCAGTAACTGGAGAGGCTTCCGTAACTCTAAGTGCTGGCAAATTGGAAAGCCTATTTCAGATACTTAAAATATTCATCCTTATACTTCAGTTACTCTAGAATCACTTTCTGGTACCAAAATCTGTATTAGTCAGGGTTCTCTTGTGTAAGCTTATAGAATGAATACCTACCTACCTACCCACCTATCTATTGGATTTATTAGGATGACGTATAGACTGTGGTCCAGCTAATCTAACAATGGCTGCCTATGAATGAAAGATCCAAGAATCTGGTAGGTCTTCAGTCCATGATGCTGGATGTCTCAGCTGGCCTTTAGTATATGCCAGAATTCCAAAGAAGTAGGCTCAATGCCCATGAAAGAATGGATTTGCTAGCAAGGTGAGAGCAAGCTATAAAAGACTGAAGCTTCCTTCTCCCATACCCTTATATAGGCTTCCAGCAGAAGGTGTGGCCCAGATTAGAGGTGGGTCTTTCCACATCAAAGATATGGATTAGGAGTGGATCTTCCCACTTCAAATAAGCAAAATTCCCTCACAGGTGTGCTCCTCCATTTTGGGGTTTTAATTAATTCCTGATGTAGTCAAGATGACAACCAAAAATAACCATCACACATCTCTTCAGCCCTGAACCAATTAATCTTTTACTTGGATTTTAATTAGGCCTAGTTACTGAATTTTATAAAATGTCTTTTCTAGACACAAGCATATGACTTTTCTAATTCATATGTTGGATTACATTATCAAGTGTGTCCTAATTAGGTTTTCTATTGTTGTGATAAAAACACCGTCACTAAAAATAACTTGAGGAGTAAAGGGTTTATTTCATTTTACACTTCTAGGTTAATAGTCCATCACTGAGGGAAGTCAGGCAGGAACTCAAGGAGGGCAGCAACCTAGAAGCAGGCACTGATGCAGAGGCCATGGAAGAGTGCTGCTTACTGGCTTGCTCCTCATGGCTTGCTAATCCTGCTTTTGTATAGCACCTAATACCACCAGCTCAGGGGTGGCGCTGCTCACAATAAACTGGGCTCTCTTGCATTAATCATCAATTAAGAAAATACATCACAGTCCATTATGGTAGGAACATTTTCTCAGTTGAGGTTTCCTATTCCAAAACAACTCTAGATTATGTCAGTTTGACATAAAATCAGTCAGCAAAGTGTGATATCAAAAAATCCATGTGTTTTTGGAACAAATTTTATCTGATTATATATATTCTCTTACTATATTGATGAAGATTCTATACCTACATTTTATTTAGAAATTATACACTTAGAGCTGAAGAAATGGCTCAGAAGTTAAGAGTACTGGCTGCTATTGCAGAGGACCTGGTTTCCATTCCCAGCACCCACATGATGGCTCACAACCTTCTGTAAATGCAGATCCTGGAGAATTTTTTTTTTTGAGAGGAGTCTCAATATGTAACTTTGGCTGTCCTAGAACTCACTATTGTAGATAAGGCTGGCCTCAAACTCACACAGATCCATCTGCTTCTGCCTCCAGAGTGCTAAGATTAAAAGTGTGTGCCACCATGCCTGGCCAAATTAAAATGCAATGTACAATATGTATGAGAAAGTACTAACTTAGTTGTTACACAAATATCTTAAAATATGTAACAATACCTAATACAAAAATGTGTGCAGGGAGCCAGATACAGTGGCACACGTTTATAATCCAAGCACTTGGGAGGCAGAGGCAGGTGTCTGAGTTTGAGGCCAGTTTGGTTTATACAGTGAGTTCCAGGATAGCCAGAGTCAGCCCTTGTCTCAAATAAATAAATAAATAAATAAATAAATAAATAAATTTAAAAAAACAAAAACAAAAACAAAAAAAGAAAAAGTCACAGGAAACAATTCACAGAACTTAAGAAAAATGACTTGGATTTTGTATAATTATTTTCCTTAATACTTTATAACTTTGATTTACCTTTAGCTCTTGGACTAGTTGGCCTCTTTTATCTTTTAGACTGTGCAACTCTTTCTCATCCCAGCATTGAGCCTTGTATTTTAAGTCACTTGATCCTCCAGAGATCACTCCAGATTTTAAAAATAGCGTTCCATCAAGTGCTACTGCCTGCATCATAAAAACATTTTACCTTAGAGAAATGTATTTTAAGAAAGACCATTTTGAAGCCGAGATTTTATAGATGTGAAAAACACCTTCCAAACTTTACTAATAAAATACTGCTTTATGAAGGAATACAAAACACAAATATAAAACCCATTTTTACTAAGGCTAGGCAACAAATTAAAAGCAATCTCAGAGGTTTAAGACAAGCTGTATATTCATTCCAAGCATACATAATTCTGAAAAGCAAAAACTATATTTAGTATCAAATAATTTGCATTACACAATCCTGTTTTGAAGATTCTGACATATATATTAATAGCTTACTATGAAAATGACCTTTAAGAACCTTAGGATACCCCAAAACAATTGCATTCTCCAAAATGAATATGGAAAGAAATTTAAAGTCAAGGTATAAAATTGCCCCAACTTTAGTGAGTTCTTTAATGGAATAAATTAATCAACTTTCAACATTTAATAAATGTTTCTATACTTAATTAGAATTGTAGTTTAAGAGTTTTCTCTCTGGGTCCCACCAAGCCCTGGCAGTTCAACAGCCCACTTATAAAATAAACACACTGGGGATTGGGGATTTAGCTCAGTGGTAGAGCGCTTGCCTAGCAAGCACAAAGCCCTGGGTTCGGTCCTCAGCTACGGGAAAAAAAAAAAAAAAGAAAAAAAAAATTAAACACACTGACGCTTATATTATTTAAACTGTTTGGCCTAATGGCTCAGGCTTCTTGTTAACTGTTCTTATATCTTAAATTAACCCATTTCTATTAATCTATACTTTGCCACGTGGCTCATGGCTTACCGGTACCTTATATCTCCCTTGTCATGGTGGCAGCTGACAATGTCTCTCTGCCTCAGCCTTCCACTTCCCAGAATTCTCTTCTCTGCTTGTCCCGCCTATACTTCCTGCCTGGCTACTGGCCAATCAGTGTTTTATTTATTAACTAATCAGAGCAACACATTTGACATACAGAACATCCCACAGCACAGAATGAAAAATGTTCCTGGCCCTAGGCCCCACAGCTGCTTTCCCCAGAGATAATCAAAATTTTTGTTTAAATTCTTTGATATTTTTCTGGAAATATTTTGCATGTATAAATGCCTTCAGGTACCATATTACACATTAGTGTACATTTGTTAGGGTGGGTGTAAGGAGAAAAAACCACAGCCTTAGTCAAGCATACTAGGCAAGCACTCTACCCTCAGCCTTATATATTATTCTTTTTTTTTTTGTTTGTTTGTTTTGTTTTTTGTTTTTCGAGACAGGGTTTCTCTGTGTAGCTTTGCGCCTTTCCTGGAACTCGCTTTGGAGACCAGGCTGGCCTCGAACTCACAGAGATCCGCCTGGCTCTGCCTCCCGAGTGCTGGGATTAAAGGCGTGCGCCACCACCGCCTGGCTTATTATTCTTTTATTGATATCCTTTTTCCTTAGTTTTTAAAGATTTATGTGTATGAATGTTTTGCTTGTATGTGTACCATGTGCATGCCTGGTGCCTGTGGAGGCTAAAAGAGAGTATCAGGTCACCTACAAAAGGAGTTGTATGTGGTTGTGAGCCACTATGTGGGTGCTGAGAACTGAACCCAGGTCTTCTGGAAGACAAGTGCTCTAAACTATTGAGTCATCTCTCCAGCCCTGTGAGAAGCTGTGTTTTTTGTTTGCCTTTTTTCTTTTTGAGACAGATCTGAAGTAATCGAAACTGGTCTGAAACACACTGGAGAGCCAAGGATGACCCTGAACTCCTGTCCCTTTTGCTTCCACTCCCAAGTCCTCTGGGCTTACAGATAGGTGCCACCATGCCTAGCAAAACTGCTTTTTTTACATTATGTTGTTTGTAGGTATTGTATGTAGTTTATACATGCTACTATTTTTTTTAAATAAACTAGGTTATTTTGTAATGTCACTTGAAATGTAAAATTCTAAAATATAGGAAGTCT